GTAACTACGCACCTGAAAATGTCCTAACCTTTCTTGCACCGGATGTCCGGTGGTTTCGTTTGGAACCCGCAATCCGGACCCTAAACCCTAAACCCTAAAACCCTAAACCCTAAACCCCAAACCCTCGGTTCTTATAGGGCTTCTTCGCGGCGCGGGGGATTCTTCAGAGGTGCCAGGGCCGTCGGGGTGTGGCATGGTTCGGGTGTGGAGTTCTTTATTTAGGGTTCAGGGTTTAGGGTTTAGGGTTTAGGGTTTAGGGGTTTAGGGGTTTAGGGGTTTAGGGGTTTTGGGGTTTAGGGTTTAGGGGTTTACGGTTTCAGGAACACCTCCACAGGTTCCGAGTTTGGGACTTTGGGGCTTTACAGGTTTAGGGGTAGCATAAACCCTAAACCCTAAACCCTACACCCTAAACCCTAAGGGGCTTTGGGTTCTTCGAGGCCTTTGGAGGGCTTAGTGCTTAGGCGTAGAGTTGGGGTTGTCAAGCCTGCGCGTGCGATCTCGAGCTACAGGCATACTTGGAGGCTCGGGTGGACTCAGTGGGATGAAGGCTTGAAGCCGAAATTGGGGCTCCCACCACCCAAACCCCAAACCCCAAAGCCCCAAAGCCCCAAAGCCCCAAAGCCCCAAAGCCCACTCTATGCAATCCTGGTGAGCCCTTTTTTGGTCAAGAGGCCGTCGCACCCCCGCCGCCATTGCGGTTACACCAGCAGCAGCCATCCTGCACCGGAGCATTCGGGGTTTTGACAGTTGGTCTACAGGGTTTAGGGTCCAGGGTTTAGGGTTTAGGGTTTAGGGTTTAGGGTTTAGGACAACTGGTCTACAGGGTTTAGGGTTTAATGTAGGGGCCTGAATAATTAGAATAGTGTTTTGGGCCCATTATGCTATAACTTTAATTGGGGACCCCCGAAATAGTATTGGCAATTATTTTAGCCTCTACATTAGGTTTGGGATCGAGGAGAAGGCCAGGGCTTGGGGATGCGGATCCTGGGTTCGACCTTTGAGCCTTTGAGGCTTTCGGGGTGCTCCGGGGGGCAAAGAGCACGGGGTCCTGGGAACTCTTGGGCGGACCTGGCACCCTAAAACCTAAACCCTGAACTCTAAACCCTAAACCCTGAACCCTAAACACTGAACTCTAAACCCTAAAGCCTGAACCCTAAACACTGAACTCTAAACCCTAAAGCCTGAACCCTAAACACTGAACTCTAAACCCTAAACCCTAAACCCTGCTTGGTAGGGGAATCTCGGAATGCCGAAACCCAAATGCTGGCGAAGACCTGCATCGCTTGAGCACTGGCCACGGCCAGGTAGTCTGTGCCTCGGAGCTCTGTAGAGTTTTAGGGGTTTGGAGCTTGAGGGGTGCAGGGTTCAGAGCGCCGTCCGTCAGGGTTTAGGGTTTAGGGTTTAGGGTTTAAGGTTTAGGGTTTAGGGGTTAGGGTTTTAGGGGGCCTGGGGTTGTGTTCAGGTTCTGTACAAGTCCAGGGATCTATGGCTCTAGGGTCCTGGAGTTGTGAAATTGGAGCTTTTGAGCATGGGGTAATCTAGAGGCCTTAATAATTAGAATAGGGGTTTGGGGTATATGCTACTATAGCTCTAACAAGGAACCCCCCCAAAAAAGTGTAGGTAACTGTTTACGCCCCTATATTAATGCCTAAACCCTACACCCCATACCACCCCATAGGTCCCTGTTTTAGCAGCCCTAAACCCAAAACCCAAAAACCCACTAAAATTCTAATAAGGAACCCCTAAAATAGTACAGGTAACTATTTAGGCCCCTATAAGCCCTAAACCCCTAAACCCCATAAGCCCTAAACCCCTAAACCCCAAAAGCCCTAAACCCCTAAACCCCAAAAACCCTAAACCCCTAAACCCTAAAAACCCTAAAAACCCCTAAACCCTAAAAGGCCCCTATGCTATGCTCACGAAGCAGGGACCTGTGGGACCTCCTGCCGGTTGGAATAGCCTAAACTCTAACCCATGGATAGTTGTCAAAATTATGGTCCCTCTTGGGGGGTACCCTAAATGATAGGTGCCGTTTTATAATAAGGACCCAATAAGGGACCATAATTTTGACAACCACCCCCATAGACCTTCACATCCATCTTCAAACGGGCACCTTGAACCAGCGCCGCGCTGTCGAGGCCGCAGGAGGTATGTGGGTTGGTTCCATAGCGGGTCGATGTGGCCATGAACCTGGTGCCCAGAAAGCCCATAACTTCAAAAAGACGAACCCTGAACCCTCAAGCAGAAAAACGGATCATGCTATGCGGCTTTTCACGTCTTCGCAATGCTTTATGAATCCCTTAACCCTAAACCCTAAACCCTAAACACTATCAAGGCTGGAAAACGAGCCTAGGGCTTTCAGGGCTGAGGGTTTAGGGTTTGGTTCCAGGGCTTAGGGCTTAGTGTTTAGGGTTTAGAGTGGGTTTTGGGTTCAGGGTGAATACCAGAACCATCATACCAGAAGTGGGTTTGGAGATTTTTTGGCAATCAACTCGGCGTCTGTGTTTGCATTCCGAATTCCGCTTGTAGGCTCATATAATTCATGATTCATAATCTGTCCTCAAAATCCTAAGTCCTGGGGGCCTTGAACCCTAAATCCCAGTGCGCCTGAAGCCATGCGCGCGGGGAGGCGCAGCCCAGCCCGCCTTCGACATGTTCTCGGCCTCCAGCGGAACTTTCTGTCAGTTTCTGATGGCTTCTAGGGTTTGTGGCTTGCGGTTTAGTTTTCGAGGCTTGCGGTTTGCGCGTTGGTGTGCATGGTTTTCGCTTTCTGGATTCTCACGTTCTGTCGTTCTGTGGGGGTTTGTGGTCTGTGGTTTAGAGCTTGAGCCTTAGGGTTTAGAAGTGCAGTGCTACTCGGCATGCAAAAGCGGTGAACCCCTTCACCCTAAACCCCTAACCCCAATCACTCATAGACCCATGAACCCTTGCAGAAGGCCTTTTATCAGGTTTCTGCTTCCTCGACAAACGGTTTAGCCTTGATTCATGGGAGTTAGGATGAATCAAAGGGACCTTGGGGATACAGACCCTCTCAATCAGGTCCCTTTTAAGAGAGCCAGAAATGGGGAAACCCTAAACCCTAAACCCTCTCAATAAGGTCCCTTTTGAGAGAGCCAGAAGTAGAGGGTTAAGGTCAACAGATCGCCAGAGCCCGACTGCCGCTTTCCTTCACGACGGCCGCAACGACATACACCCACAACTCCAGAAACTCAAACTCCAAACCCTAAACCCTCAACCCTAAACCCTAAACCCTAAACCCTGAAATCCACAACTCCGGAAACTCTAACTCAAAGCTACAGGGGTTGGGCCAAACCCTGAAAACCCAAACGGCCTCCCATATTCTGAAACGACCCGGTTTAGGGTTTAGGGTTTAGGGTCCCCGAAGCCATATACCCAGAGAACCTGAATCCCATATACTCCCCCAAAACCCTAAATGTTCCTTCGAGGAACCCTTGTAAGGAACCCCATGAGAAAACCCACCAGTTGAAATGAAACCCTTGAAGAAAACCTCAGTCCCTCAACTAGCCTAGGCCCAGGCCTAAGCAAGTAGAAGTGGCCTCTGGGAGGCCTAACGCCTGTCCGAAGCCTACATTAACCATTAATCGCAGAATTCAAAAGCCCCGACATCCCAAAACCCCGAAACCCTAAACCGCATATTAATCCCTCACACGTTCAAGCCCGAGCGCTGCCATCTCCGTCGCGTTCCATCGCCAATCGCCTCACACGACTCGTCTCAGAGACAAGACAGAGAGGCTGCGGGGAGTGAAAGTTTCATGTGGGAATTTGATTTCAAAGGGCTCTATCAGGGTTGCTACTCGGGTATGATTTCAGGGCCAGGAAAACTTCACACTTCTAACATAGAAACCTGATTCAGAAACCTTGGATCTTTATTCGGGTTCTTCACATAGGTCGTCATACATTCTGGAGTTCTAGGACCAGTGTGTCAGATTCTTGCAGCAGCGCGTGGGGGCTTTAGGGCTTGAGGGATGTAAGCTTAAGGGTTTGGGGTTTAAGGTTTTGCTCACATCTTTAGGCTTTGGGGCTCTGGTGCTTTAGGGTTTAGGGTTTTTTGGCTTGAGGGCTTCAGGGTTTTAAGGTTTGGGGTTTTGGGGCTTTGGTGCTTGAGGCTTAAGGCTTCGCAGTGTTAGGGTTTTAGGTTGGGGTTTGGGGCTTTGGGGCTTTGGGTTTGGTACTTGGACCTACTATCTCACGGGCACCAAACTGTGAGTTGTTGATGTGGTTGCTATAATAATGGGTGGTTGTCAAAATTATGGTCCCTTTGGGGGTACCCTAAATAATAGGTGCCGTATCAAAATAAGGACCCAAAAAGGGACCATAATTTTGACAACTACCCATATGGACAGACTAACCGTGCCTCAAGGGTTAAGGGCGCTTGAAGGTCCAAGCCCTGCGCTCCAAGAAGGTTACCATGTCGGCTACCTGCAACATGCCGCTTCTCACCTTGAGGAAACGAAAACTGGCCAGCAAACGCTGAACCCCTAAACTTCCCCTAAACCCTGAACTCCTAAACCCTAAACCCTAAACCCCTAAAACCGTCCAACCCTGAACCACTACTATAGGGGTCTTGGTAATTTTGGGTATATTATACTCTGATTATAATAAGCATATACGACAACTGTAATGAAGATATACTATGATCATAATAAGGATACACTATAATCACAATAAGGATATACTATAATTATAATAAGGATATACTACAACTGTAATAAAAATATACTATCATCACAATAATTAAGGATATACTCAAATTTAAAAATAGGGATCTACTAAGATTCTAATAAGGACATAGTAAAATTCTAATCAGGATATACTACAGCGATAATAGGGAACCTCCAAGCTTCTCCCCCCCCCCCCCATTTTTAACTTTGGGGCAGGGAGGAACCAAGGTTAGAGGTATGGGCCCCTAACATGGACCCTTAGGCCTTTCTAGGGCCCCTTAAGGGTATATATGGGGTATATAGTAGGTATATAAGGGTCCCAGGATTAAGGGCCCATACTAGGGGCCCATGTGTTCAACCTTAGGGAGGAACACGATTCACCAAAATGGCGACAGGGCAGTTTTCGTCTCGAGGACAGAGGGGGGTGGCAGTTTTTGAGGTTGCGGTTGAGGGGCTCAGGGTTCAGGGTTCTGAGTTCAAGGTTTAGGGTTTAGGGTTTAGGGTTTAGGGTTTTAGAGTTTAGGGTTTAGGGTTCAGGGTTTCAGGTTTAGGGTTTAGGGCTTCGGGTTTAGGGTTTAGGGCTCAGCACCGTTTGCTTGGGGTGGGCGTGAAGGCTAGAGACGATGATAACTTCCAGGAGCACCCAACAAAAAGAAGAGGTGGTTGAGGTTGTTAATATGGGGGTTTCCGAAAATAGGGGACCCTAATATAGTACCCTAAATAGTAGGATCCATATTATAAGGACCCCAAAATAAGGTACCCCAAATTTTCGGAAACTCCCATATAGGGGCCTTAATAATCAGAATAGGGTTTGTGGGTGCCTTATTTTAAATATAATATAAAGGCCCCAAAACCCTATTCTCTATCTTAAGCAGAAATCTTGAACTCTGCTTTTCTGATGTCTGGGTGTTGGAGACTTCCAGCGAAATCTCTGAAGACTAAACTCCTAAACCCTGAACCCTGAACCCTACAAACCCTAAACCCCTCAAAGCCCGAAAGGCCGTAAAGGCCCTACAGCCCTAAACCCTAAACCCTGCAAACCCTAGAGCCCTCTGAGGCAAGATCCAAGCCGGTCGCCGTCTCTTTGGGCATGCGAGGCGTTTTGATGCGAGGTGTTTTGGGAGGCACGCAGGTTCCTGGGCAGTTGCACCGATCTTTCGTGGGCTTTGGGGGTGTAAGGACTAGGGCTTAAGGGTTTGGGGGTTTAGGGTTTAGGGTTTAGGGTTTAGGGTTTCTGCCAGGATATTGTGATTACCGCTACCACTGCGCTCAGGATGACTCTGCAGATATATATTCAGATTACCCTCATGACTGCTACGAGGACGAACGTTCTTCTCATACTTGCTGAACATTCGAGATTGCCACGCTCGTGTCGACAAAGGCCAAGATGAATGCGACTAAACTTATTGAGGGCCGGAGGGGTGGATGTCCAGATTTGGCAGGTCTCGTCCAGAGTTTAGAGTTCCCAGGTCTTGGGCAAGAAATTTCAACCCTAAACCCTATACACCCTCAAAATCCTACACCCCACACCTTCAACCCTAAACCCGAAACGCCCTAAACCCTGAACCCTAAACCCTAAACTCAGGGCAGCTCTTTTTTTTGCTTCTGGGTTGAAGGGCGTCTGTGGGTCCCACTCTAGAGGGATGTGGGCTCGAGCTGCAGACTCTGATGTAGGAACGTGATTCAGAAACCCTGGCCCAAAAACCCGCAAAAGTTAGGATTCATACAGAACCCTCACATTTCGAGTCCTAATAGAGCCCTATAGATCCCTCAAAGGAACCCTTGCAAAAATCCTAAAGACGCAAGGTTTCTCAGTCAGGTTCCAAAATATTCCCTCCGAATCCCTCCCCCTTCCGGTAGGCTAAGGCCTCTATGGCGCCCTAAACCCTAAACCCTAAACCCTAAACCCTAAACCCTAAACCCTAAACCAGGGCTCAAGGGTTGAGGGATTTTAGGGTTTAGGTTTTTTTTGCTTTAGGGTTTAGGGTGTAGGGTTTAGGGCCTAGGGTTTAGGCGTTAGGGCCGCCGTTGCGCTTAATTTAGGAAATAACAGCACTCGGAACACTACAAATCTGTGACAAAATCCTATTTAGGGCTCCTTCTTTACGGAGTTGTGCAGCTTAGCGTTTGAGCCTTGGGGTTCGCTCGCTGTGTTTGTCGAACAACTCTATTTTCTATAAGAACTACAGCCATTAGCATAACTATATCTACGATAATAGCTATGGGCTATGGATACTACCCCCACATTAAGGTCCCTTTTGGGGTCCTTGTTGTAAGGGTGCCGTACTATTTTGGGGATCCAAAAATGGACCCTCATTAAAAACCTGCCCTCCAAAACAACCGCTGCTAGAATTACTACATAACTCTAGCTGTTACTACAAAAGGCATGAAACCCTAAACCCTAAACCCCTAAACCCCTAAACCCCAAACCCTACACCCAAACCCCTGAACCCTAAGCCCCCAAACCCTAAAGCCCAAACGCTAAACCTAAACCCTGAGCCCTACACCCAAAGCCGTACTAGGTTACTTCAAGCCCTCTTCCGTCTTGAACCTACCTTTTTAGGGCTCCTTATCATGATTTCTATAAATAAGTCCTTAAAAACGAAGGTTATTTGGGGTTAAGGTAAACCCTAAACCCTAAACCCTAAACCCCTAAACCCCTAAACTCCTAAACCCTAAGCCCTACTAGGGGACTTCAAGCCCTCTTCCATCTTGTTGTCAAGGCTTCCTTGGGGCGGCCGCAGCTCTCCATCGTTTGCATAGGAGGCTTCTTGAAGGGTTTAGGAGGGTTTAGGGTTTAGGGTTTATGGTCTAGGATTTAGGGGTTTAGGGTTCGGGGTTTAGAGGGTTTTTGGGTTTAGGGTTTGGGGTCTAGGGTTTAGGGCTTAGGGTTTAGGGTTTAGGGTTTAGGGCCCGGGGCTTAGGATTTAGGGTTTAGTTGGGGGAGTGAGGCGGTACGAAGAACACGAAGACTCATAGCAATAAGAATGACCAAAATCGCCTGTTCTAAGAACAGTAACAAGAAGAAGAAGACGAGTTCGAATAAATATCAATATGGGGGCTTACCCTAGTATAGGCGAACTCATAGGACATCGACTTTATCTACACTCTGCGCGCATTACTCAAGGATCTGCTCTACTGCAAGGGAGCCAAAAAGAAAAACAAAAAAAAAACCTGAGTGCGATCCGGGCGGCCCATCTGCGGCCGACAGGACAGACAGAGAAATCACCAGGCAGCTGCGGACGAACATGGTCCTGAGAGATTTAATTATACGGTTTCGGGACATATTATTCTATACTTATAATAAGGAACCACCGCAAATAGTATAGGTAATTATTGAGGCCCCTATAGTAGCTGTTGATCAGGTTCCTGGAGATCTCTCGATAGAGCCATAGCAGATCCAAGATCCTGAAAGCTATAGATGGTTTCATTTCAGAGTGCAGTTTTGCCAGGTCTTGTGTGCATCGAATCACAGGGGTCTTGGGGTGTAGGGCTTTGAAGAGGATGTATCATGCATGTATGTATGTCTATGTATGTATGCATGCACGTATGTATGCATGCATGCATGCATGCATGCATGCATGCATGCATGCATGTATGTATGTAAGCGCTAAATGTATGGGAAGGTTATGTTGTACTATGCGCTATCGGTTTTGTCTGGCGTTTCGTGTTTTGTGTGTGTACGCTGTCGTTTCGCGGGGTCGATGACTACGGTAAGGGCTTTATAGGGCTTTCACCCCAATAAAAAATCAACAAGTGTTTCTTATTAGCAGGGGGCTTCTGTCTCTACATTCACTTTTGCAGGATCTTGTTCCTACTCTTGTTCCTGCTCCTGCTTCTTCCTGCTCTTGGTCCTACTCTTGCTCTGCTCCTGATCTTGCTCCTGAACCCCCTAAGTCAAAACAGTTTTCCAAAGGCGGTGATGACTTCAGTAGGATTTCCCTTGAAAGTGGCCTTATGGTTACAGGGTTGCTTAACAGCAAAAGGGAGAAGTGGTTAGAGGGTTTTTGCAAGGTTTCTTCCTAAACCCTAAACCCTAAACCCTAAACCCTAAACCGCGACGGCTTCTATGAGGGTGACTACTACGCACCCAAAATGGGACCCGAATCTCGATAACTACCCACATAGCTTCGGGAACCCACCTAAACCCTAAACCCTAAACCCTTACATCCTAAACCCTCAACCCTGAACCCTAAACCCAAAGCCCCTAAACCCTAAACGCCCTAAACCCTAAACCCTAGGCCCTAAACCCTAAACCCGAAGCCCTGAACCCTACACACTGAAACCCTAAAACCCTAAACCAGCTTCGGGAGGACCCTTGATTAGGTCTGATGGCTTCTGAGAGCTGGGAGCTTGGATTCGATGGGCTTGAACCCCTAAACCCCTAATTAAACCCGAAACCCCTAAACCCTAAACCCTAAACCCCTAAACCCCTAAACCCTAAACCCCTAAACCCTTAACCCCTAAACCCCTAAACCCTTAACCCCTGAACCCTAAACCCAGCGGCTGGCAACAAGCGTCGAGGTCAGGGACAAGTTCGCGAGGCTGGCTGGGAGCCCTAAATGGCTGGCGACGTCGACTCATTGGTTCCAGGGTCTAGGGGCTTTCGGGTTTGAGGTTTAGGTTTTAGGGTTAGGGGCGGTTAAATACCACAATACTTGCTACAGTTGTAGACTGGAAGCCCAGCGAAAGAACAACCCTTACAAATTGTTCAAGCCTAAACCCTACACCCTAAACCCCCAATTCATACCCTAAACCCTAAACCTCCGAGCATCCCGGAATCCCTGAAATTGAGCCGAAAGCAAGACCTAAAGCCATAGAATCCATACAACGCTTCGGGGACATGGTTCCAAGCTTGAGGGTACGTCGCAAGGAGGGATCATTCGGAGAACTCTCCTTGTAAGGATAATGTGGGGGCCTTAACAATTAGAATAGGGTTTTGCTGTATATTATACTTTAATTGTACTGAGAAACCCCCCAAAATAGTATCGATAGTTATCTAGGCCCCCATAGTATCCTGAGCAAACAATCGGGCAATCTACCCCAGCACTACATACTTGGGGAGTCAGACAGGTATTTCGAGGACCTAGTTTCTGCATCTGTGGAAACTGTGAAACTCCACACGCGAGACACTCCACAGCCGCTGTCGCAGGAAACCGAATAGTTGCTACGGTGTCCTAAACCTCCGGCCTCCATTCTACGAGAATCTTACTTCTACCACATCTGAGTCAAGCCCCAGGTGAATCTCTATCAATAACCTCAAGCGCCAACCCCAAGCCGTCAGCTGAAAGCCCTGCGATCTAGAAAGAAGAAGATCGCAAGACAAAGCCGCAACCACATGCCACACGCGCTCCTTCGCCGAAACTTCGTACAAGGCACAACCCTTGCAGTCCAGGCTGGCAACCCCCGGACAGGTGCGATGCCGCCTGAATCGACGACGTCAACTCGCAGCCCACTTCCTGTGGAACGATCCGTCTATACGGTTGGTGCTCATGCTCTAGGCGTCGTCGTCCCCTAAACCCTAAACCCACAAACCCCAAAACCCTAAGTCATTGTTGTCTGTGTCGTGGTGACGGTCCTGTTCTCTAAGCCCTAAACCTGACATTCTGGAGGAGAGCCTGGGCCTCGAAAAGGTATGAACCTCATAGCTCTTCTGCACCCTAAGCCCTAAACCCTAAAACCCTAAAAAGCAAGAACAACTAATCCCTAAACCCTAAAGGCCCAAAACCCTGAACATCCCCTAAACCCTAAACCCTAAACCCTAAAGCCCCAAAACCCTAAAGCCCTAAAACCCCAAAACCCTAAAGCCCTAAACCGATAGCACTGTCCAGGCTGGAGCCATGTGCCTTCATTGAAGTCGGGGTTCGGGACGACGGCACAGGGATTCAAGGGGGATGGCCGGAGACGAACGGTGTGGGGTCTCAGGGCTTTGGGTTAGAGCTTCAGGGTTTAAGGCTGTAGGGTTTAGGGTGCTTGGGGTTTCGGGTTTAGGTAGGATTTAGGGCTTCGGGTAAAGCCCACTGAGCCACTACGAACTCAAATCACTCTTGAACACACCTTAAACCCTAAACCCCATGTGCACCTGCAGATACAGATCCAGAGGGGAGCCAGCGAAGTGGACTTCCTGGCCGGAAACTCTCAATTTGTCAGGCTTAGGCCATCCTTTAAAAAGTGCGTTTCATACAAGGACGATGGGCTACTATAAGATGTGTGCTTGGGAAAACCCTAAGCCGCTACCCCCTAAAACCTGAAGCTCAATGAAGAACCCTAAACCCTAAACCCTAAACCCTAAACCGCTCTACGGCTGTTGGTGCTCTTAAGAGACTGAAAGCCTGCGGCTCCAGGTCAGACCTTTCTAGAATTCAGGGTTTAGGGTTAAGGGTAGGGTTTAGGAGTTTAGGGTGTAGGGGTTTAGGGGTTAGGGGTTTAGGGCTTTGGGGGTTTAGGGGTTTTGGGTTTTAGGGTTTAGGTTTGAGGGCTTGGGGTTCAGCCCTATACAATCCTAACATACGCGTAGGGCCCCTAAAAAAAGGAGAACGCAAGATTCGCGGTTCGCGTCTCTGGGCTTTCAGGGGTTCGGTTAGGGTTCAAAGTTGTGAGCCTCGAGGGTAGCTTCAAAATGACATGGAGAACCCAACAAGCACATGGGTAGTTCTCTAATTAAATTCCGGTCCCTTTTTAGATCCACAATATAGGACGGCACCCCTATAAAAAAGGACCCTAAGAGGGACCCTAATTGAAAAGACTACCCACATGGCATTCTCTGCCGGCCTCTACCTCAGCCATGGCAAGCCGGTCTGGAGGGAGGATGCTCCCACGCTCTGTTGGGCTTTTTGCCGGGAGTTTAGGGTTTATAGGGTTTAGGGTTTAGGGTTTAGGGTTTAGGGTTCAGGGTTCAGGGTTCAGGGTTCAGGGTTTAGGGTTTAGGGTTTAGGGCTCACGGTTTAGGGTTTAGGGCTCAGGGTTTAGGGTTGAATGAGCCTCTAGGTATAACCCAGCACAACCCTATACACCCGAAGCTCAAGCCCAGAACTCCTCAACCCTAAAACGCGAAAATTCGGCATCAGGTCTCGGAATTCGCGGCTCCAACCATGGGGTTTAACTTAAATCCTGCGAACACTGCATGTTTAGGGTTTACGGTTTAGGGTTTAGAGAACCTGAGTGCCCGATTCACGGAAGCCGGGCAACGTGCCGAGGTTGCCTAGGAGGCCTTGCTTTCGGTTTCAGGGGGGTCTGACACGAAGCTTGAATGGCAGTATCCTGTCGGCAAGGGTACAGACATTGAAGTGCCTTCAGCTTCAGAGTGCAGAAATCAAGTAACGAGAAGTTGGCTTTGGGGTGTCGATTCTTGTGCTAGGTTAAAGGAAACTACAGGTGGGGAGTTTAGGGTATATAGGGCTTCCATAAGGCTTCTATAAGAAATATAGACCTTCTATAAGGCTCCTATAACAGTAACTACCCACCTGAAAATGTCCTGGACTAGGGGTCCGAAGAACGACCTCCCAGCTCTGTCGTTTGGTGTGGGATGGTTCTACTTGCAGGCTCGCAGCTAGATGCAGGATGGTACAAAAGAAGGCATAACAGACTCCAATTGAACCGCTAACCTGAAAACCCCAAACCCCTAAACCCCAAACCCTGAACCCCTAAACCCCTAAACCCCTCAACCCCTAAAACCCAAACCCTGAACCCCTGAACCCCTAAACCTCCAAACCCGCAAACCCCAAACCCTAAACCCTGAACCCCTGAACCCTGAACCCTAGACCAAAAACATTCCCATTCAACCACTAGCCTGAAACCCCCAAAGCAGCTAAGCTTAGGGTTGAGGATTTAGGGTTTAGGGGCTTCGGGCTTTGGGTTTAGGGTTCAGGGTTTAGGGCTTAGGATTTATCGTTTAGGGGCTTAGGGTTAAGGGTTAGGGTTCAGGGTTTAGGGTTTAGGATTTAAGGGCTGAGGGTTTAGGGTTTAGGGGCTTCGAGTTATTCAAGTATTTACAGCAGCTTTTTAGAAAATAACCCTAACCCTAAACCCTAAACCCTAAACCCTAAACCCTAAACCCTAAACCCTAAACCCTAAACCCTAAACCCTAAACCCTAAACCCTAAACCCTAACCCTCCTTTACGTATTCCAGCCCCGGTTCTACGAGCCTGAGCTGCTCGTTATGACTTCTTGGTCTTCGGCTTAGGGTTTAGGGTTTAGGGTTTAGGGTTTAGGGTTTAGGGTTTAGGGTTTAGGGTTTAGGGTTTAGGGCCT